CGTAACGAAAAAAAAAAAAAAAAAATTTTGAAGAATAAAAAGTTCAAAAAAATTTTTCAGATGAACAATTTTTGTGTTTCAGAAAACAAAATGAAAAAAAAAACTTGGATCTTTTCTTGTCGTCGATTTGTTGGTTCAATTTTTTAAAAACTTTTTTCTTGCATAATTTGTTGTTGTTTTTTTTTTATCTTTCTCTCTTTTTTTTCTCGGTGAAAACCATAACGAAGCAACAAATTGAACAGTGGTGGTTAAGTGTCGAAAGGATGAAACTGTAAAACAGAATGTTTCCCACTGATAACGGAAACAAAAATTGCACTCCGAAAAAGCAGCGCTTAGTTCAGTGTTTGAAAATTATGGGATTACAAAATTTTAGGTGATCGTAGAACATAGCAGAGACGTAATCTTAAGTAAGGAAAAATAAACCCAAGCTTAACCCCAAATCAGCTATTATCAGCAAATAAAAGAACCAACAAACATACCTGTCATTGTAAAAATACCGACAATTGTACCAATGTTACGACCAGCCAACATCACCTCTTCGGTTTGTTCACCTTCCACAATGGTATCTTTGGCTTTTCGGCCAGCCCAAATTCCCACAACAAGAATTAAGATGTAAAAAAATATGATTGCAATGATACCCAAATAATCCATTGTTTTCTAAAGTATAATTTTGTAGTTTTCCCTGTTCTTTTTGCCAAATACTGTCAAAAGACAAGAAATAAGAAACCATTCGAATATGAACCACAATTGACAAGTCAGTGAACCCGAACAAAAAAACTGTCGATTGTCAACGCTATTGAAACGAAAAAAAAATTGGCGAAAAAAATTCAAAGATTTTTGGCTGTCTGTAAAATATAGGATAACCAAAAATTCAACCAAGTCACACCTTTGCTGTTCGTCTAAGATCCATCAAATTCCACTAACAACAATCGCATATACAACATTACAACAGATACTTAAACACAGAGTGAAACACAGTTACAGTGTTTGCACAAAATAACTTGATTATAATAAAGTAATTATACAATATTGAAGAAGAAAGAACATTTTATATAAAGAAGAACAGAGCAAATTTGGGAGAAAAATTTAAGCACTTTTCCTCTGACTATAAACATTGAAAAGTTTTATGTTGAATAAACTAAGTAATAGAAAGCCAAAAGTTTTGTCTTTGTTTTAAACATTTTTTCAATATTTGCCTTTTTTAGCATTAACGCATTATCAGTGTCTCCGTCGTCGTCGTCGTCGCTGCCGCCGCCGCCGCCGCCGCTATGATCGCCATTGTTAACAGAATTATTATCATTTGTTAACCAATGCTTTATCATTTCAACAGTTTTGAATTTTATATTCTTTTTTCTTTCCTCCTTTCTCTTCTATAACCTTTCATGTTAATTTTATAAAAAAAAAGAAAAACAAACAAAAAATCTTAGACTGCACAACTTTTTTTACTGAAACTTGAAGTTAAGAAGTCTAACATCAAACTGAAACTGTTACCAGCAAGCAGAACAGACAACAACAACAACACCAACAACAACAACAAAAGCAAAAACAAAACAAAAGAAAACAGTGATTAAATGAATATATAATTGATATTAAAAGAAAAAAAAAACGGATTTATAAGAAGCAAAAAAGAGAACGTGGAAAAATAGCTGAAGAATAGTTTTGCTATTGTCAGGCGTCTCTTTCCGCCCTCATCGCCCACCTCTTTGCCTCTTCGCATTTTGTCCTCTTTTACTCAATAAAGAAAAAGTTAAAACAATAAATTTGCAATCAAAAAAAAAAAAAAAAAAAAAAAAAAAAAAAAAA